ACTCCCCAAAACCCCAAAACCCCAAAACCCCAAACTGTTATAGATATATTGAGAAAGGTGTTTTATTTGAAGAAATAATAAACCATTCAGATTACACGAACAATTTCTTTCTGTTCTCCCCCATTTTGGCATGATAGATAAATTCAAATTCTCCAAACTTTGTGTCAAATGTTCCATGCTGAAGAGTTTTTAACTTTAATGTGAATCGAGGACCTAACTCTTGGAGGTTAGCTCTCTGACCATTCTTAACAAATTCATACCTGTGATGACGACAGAAGATAAAGTCTCTTTGATTATGAAGAGTCACTACTTGTCTTCCTTTGAAATTAGGTCTCTGTGGGAACAAAGCTGCCAGCATCCTTCCAATTCTGTGACCTAATCTTGTATCAAAGTTGTTCAAAATCAATTCAGGCATTGTCTCTACAGCATTTCCATGGTTGGCAATCTGATGATTCAGTTTAATTCCAGAAATTCTAAAAGTAGCAGTGGGTCCTTTAGGTAAATGACTAAGGATCATGGTATGGGGTTCTCCTCTCTTCTCATAAATAATCATAACATCTGTGTATTCTCTATTTTTAGCAAACTCGATGATATCTTTCAGTTTAAAATTCTTACGCTCATAATAGTGCAAATTTGGGATTACAGTCTTTAGCTCTTTTAAAAACTGGAAAACTCCTCTAGAAGGTCTTCTATTTGTAACCATGCAGATCTTAGGAGTAGTTTTCTCCTTGAAGTATTCATTAAACTCATCAATATTCTCATCTGCCTCGATTTCTTCATCAGCTTCGGCAATAAAGGTCTCTTCATAAACACGCATAGTCTCAATGGTATTGGTGATCCCTCTTGGGCAGGCATCTTCCCCTTTCTCTAGCCTAATCTGCTTCTTTTTGAGTCTAACGAGGTTCTTTTTCTTGGCCTTTTCCTTCTTCATGGACCTGACCATTTCCATACGTTTAATCTTATTCTTCATTTTTCCTGGAGTGATCTTATTTTTATGCTTATGAGCTGCATCTTTGCGACCAGCTTTGTCTCTCTTCTTTGTAGCTTCTTTAATCTGGCCTGAAAGCCTCTTGATCTCCTTATCTTTCTGTTGGAGTTCAATATGAATAGGCTTCTTAGCAGGTGCACCAGCGTCTTGAGTCTCTCTCTTCTTAACCATTCCTCGTGTTTTAATTAATTATTTCAGAAATGGGGTTTTGGGGTTTTGGGGTTTTGGGG